ACAACATTATAGCTTGTGGGGTCTTACCAAAGAAACACTCATGATTTGTTTCATCCTTTGAAATAGTAAAAATATTTTGTGAATTTCATGATTTCTGCCTTCTTATAGCTCTTATAGTTGATTTCAGGTCTATGCAGTAGACTGGATGCTGTATATGCACATTATCTCTTTTAATTGGCTTCTGTCCTCTGAGGCTTTACTCCTTATCCTTGTTTTAAAGATAAAGAGACTGAGGTTGGTATATGATTCCTAGGAGGAGGGAACCTGTGACTCTAGGGCTCCATGATAAGGTGGATGATAGCTGCCAGATGTTTGTTTTCATGGCTGAGGGTTTGCTTTCTTTGCAGAACGTATTAGCCGGTGCCTTGTTTGGGCCATGGCTAGGACTCGTGCTATGCTGTATACTAACCTCGGTGGGTGCCACATGCTGCTACCTGCTCTCCAGTATTTTTGGCAAACAGCTGGTGGTCTCTTACTTCCCTGATAAAGTGGCCCTGATGCAGAGAAAGGTAAGGAGTAGGGCACATCCAAGTATAGGTTCCTTGAGAGTTACCTCATGGCCTACGGGGAGTGAGGAGCAAAGATCTCCCATAGTCCTCCTTTGCCCTGCCTCCCGAGGACTTAGGGATTCTGTTGTCTTCAGGATAACAGACCTGGGATCAAATTTCTGTGGCTTTGGGCAAGTTCCCAGGCTTTCTGATCCTTAGGCACCTCTGATTTTAAAATGGGGAAAACAGTCTCTACCCTAGAGGGTTATGGAAAGAGTTGGGAGTAGTATATGTAAAGTGTCCAGAATAGTGCCCAGATGCCTTTCTGCTTCCTAATGTCTTGTCCTCTTTGCTGCAGGTGGAGGAGAACAGAAACAGCTTGTTCTTCTTTTTACTGTTTTTGAGACTTTTCCCTATGACACCAAACTGGTTCTTGAATCTCTCGGCCCCGATTCTGAACATCCCCATTGTGCAGTTCTTCTTCTCAGTTCTTATTGGTAAGATGCTAGAGGATTAAGTTGGAGTCTTCAGAGATGTTGTGTTGGGGAACTTCCCTGAGTCCCCTGCCACATGGGCACGTGCTTACCTCCAAGAAGATGGGGGCAATCTACTGAATTAGAGGACATCTGATGTCTCCCCTTGGTTTGACAATCCTACGACCTCCATTAGAGCTACTCATCCTCAACAGGCTGCCAGATAAAGGGCTGGGACTAGAGCAGTGTTTTCAGAGTGTAGGCCTTGAATCACCTTTGTTAGAATGGTAAAACACAAACATCCTGTAAGATCAGTGACTGTTACTTTCTCCATGCTAGAAGTAAAGCACCCTATTTAAGCCTAAAGCAAGTATTACCTTCTCTTAAATCTCGGAACCAAATTCAGTGTGGAGGGAATGACATTCAGGGCTTTTCAGTCAAACATAACAAATCTGTAGTGGAGTGGCTGCTATTAATAGGCAATGCCTGAGAGAAAGTGAGATCTTAAATCGAAGTAAGATCGACCACAGCCAAATCTGGTCATATCAGCTTTCAGACAGAGTGCCTCCGTACCTCAGCTAATGGCAGTTAACAGCTTGAAATTACCTAGGTAGAATGAGGCTTAGAAAGATTCTGGAGACAGGGTTCCTGCCTGCCCAACTGTATGACCTTGAGTGTTCTATCATCTCCCATGTACTTCCTCTGCTATAGAGAGGGAATGGATTATAGGGGTCCCAGACCAATCAGAAGCTTAGGGGTGGGGGTAGGAGAGACTTAAAACACAGGTTCCTGGGCATTACTTCAGAACCAAGTAATTAGAATATCTAGGGGGGGCGGTGCTCAGGATGTGTTTTTGTTTTGTGTTTTTCAGTGCTGGGGGTAAAACCCAGGGCTTCATGCATGCCAGGCATGTACTCTACCACTGAGCCACTAAGCCACATCCCCAGCTCTGAGAATGTTTTTAACTTGACCAGGAGATGCTTAAGTGACCAGCCTTTCCAGCTACCAGCCAGAATTTTGGGATCTAGTGGCTTTGATGACTTCTTAGAGAATATGAAAAATAGTACTCCTTTTAAGAAACTGTTATGTGTGTGTTTTTATAGTGGTGGGGTTAGAACCTGGGGGCCTGTGCATGCTAGGCAAGCACTCTACCACTGAGCTACACCCCTCAGCCCTGTTTGTATTTTTAATCTAATGCATACTGTAAATCTTATAATGATGGTGTTTCTCTCTTCTCTGTGATTATAGGGTGCTCAGGACCAAATTCAGGGCCTACCTTTAGCAAATGTGTGAACCTCATACATTTTCTTGTTTTTGCTAACTTGCTCCCTTATTTTACTGTTCATTCATTTTATCTTTCCAATTTTTAATTTTTATCTAAATGGTTTATGCATAATATGTGTGTGTATAATTCATGCATATAAAATTTGGAAAAATTTAATAAAATTTTAATTTGGAAAAATTAAATAAAATGGATTTTATATATGTAAATTATATACACACATATTTATGTATATTTGTGTAGACCATCAAAAGTTCTTTTGCTGAACAAGATATGTATAAGGGAAGTGAGGAAAGGAAGGAAAATAATGGAAAGGTGGAGAGGAGAGAATATGTTTAGGGGTCAGGGCTTGGGCAAAAAGCTGGTATCACTGTTCTGAATTCTTATGTTATTTTCTTCATTTTCACTCTCCTGTTAACAGGTTCTTTCCCCTTTTCTTTTTCCAGGTTTGATCCCATACAATTTCATCTGTGTGCAGACAGGCTCCATCCTGTCAACCCTAACCTCTCTGGATGCTCTCTTCTCCTGGGGAACAGTCTTTAAGCTGTTGGCCATTGCTCTGGTGGCCTTAGTTCCTGGAACTCTCATTAAAAAATTTAGCCAGAAACACCTGCAATTGAATGAGCCAAGCAACACTAATCATATAAATAGAAAAGACACGTGATCTGGATTTTTTGTTTGCCACATCCTTGGACTCTTGATGATTTGTTACTGGATGTGGTCCTTTGAAGGTCCTCATTGATTTTTAATTACCCTCACAAGGTAATCTGGACACTGTTCATCTGTGTGCAGTGTCTTGTCACAAAGGGCACTCAGCTTTAAAAGGTGAATCGTATCTAGTTTGGTCTGGCCTTGCGTTGGCAGGACTAGGAATGGGTGGCCTCCTAGAAAATCCCTTCTCTTGTTTTATTAATTAAAAAGGAACTCAGGGTGGTCTATTGGGTTTGCCTCTTGCTTACTCCTGGGCTGCCTTGGGAGAAGTTGGTTGTCCTTGTCCAGAGTACCTCTTGCAAAATGATAGGCTGTGTGTGACATGTGTTCTTCTGTTAACTCTCCATGGATGTTATTAGGATCACTGCTGACTTGTGAACCCACATTGCTGACATGACTCTCCACCTGCTGTTAGTCTCTTGAAATGTTTCTTATGTACTTTTTTTTGTTGTTGCTGATCTACCTCTTCCATAAGCCAAGGGAAACCGCCTAAGACTTCCACATGTAGCTTAAGTGCACAGTGATTTCTGTGATGCTCTGTGTTCAGACACAGTGATGTTAACCATGTATGTCAAATCTCCTCATGGTTATATGTCCTGACAATTAAGCTAACTATAAACAGATTATTAAATATGAATGGAACAAACTTTATGTTATGGATCTATAGTAGGGAAATCCTTACTCTTCTGGACAGAGCAGGGCCCTTGAGTCACCTGAATGAAATGACAATCTGTACATTATCTAATATGTCCTTTCAGTTGGGAATCCCTTCTACCTCCTTCTGGAGAATGGATTCAGTACACTAGTATACTTATGAATGTTTTTGTTATTTGTTGAGAAAAACTGATAAGTAATTGTATTTTTTAATTCAAAAGAAAAGTTGGTCTTATTACTTGGTTGTGTTGTATTTTAATTACCTAAGGTTGTTATTGCTTCCTACAGCTGCAGTATTGGATTGGCAGGGACCTACATTACTGTCTCTATGGACAGATGGCGCTTGGCACCTAAACTGACCAGCTCTGCAATCCTGTATTCTCATAATTTATCAGAACTGCTACTCTTGAGTGTCATCCATTGGGTTTTTGTTTGTTTGTTTGGATTGGCCAAGAATCTCACCAAGGCTTTAATCTGAGCCTCTTGTTGTACATGAATTCTTTGGAATACTTACATTCCATAGGAAGAATGGGTTCCAAAATAGTGTTTTGGGACATGGTATGGTCTTTATGGTCTTTTCACAGCAAAGATCTCATTTTTAAAAATATGTCTGCTTTTTTTTTTTTTTTTTTTTTTTTTTTTTTAAGCTTTTTTTCCCCCCAGGGCTGAGGACTGAACCCAGGGCCTTGTGCCTGCTAGGCAAGCACTCTGCCACTGAGCTAAATCCCCAACCCTTGTGTTTTTTTTTTTTTTTTTTAAAGCCTTGATAACAAGAGTTTGGGTGAGGAGGAGGCCTATCTGGACTTTGAAATCAGTGGCTTTTGTTTGTGTTTGGGAATAGAGGGAGGGAAGAGCCAGGGAGTTCTCCACACTGTTGCAAATGTATGCTCTTTGCCCTTTTACAGATCCTTAGATCTGTCTCTTTCCTGCATGATTTTGCAACAATGTGCCTTATCGGTTTACAAGTAAAGTGGTTTACCAAATAAATGGATATAAATGTTATGTAATAAATAAATGGACATAAATCTTTGTTTGTACATGTGGTTTTTAACTGCCTTTACCAGTGGGAATCACGATTGACTGAAAATTGTAAAACCCCAAATGGTGTTTTAGTGTTCCACTATCACCAGGCCTCTCACCAAAATGATTCCAGATTCCCGTTTTCCTTTCTCTGCTCGTGTTATAGTAGGGTCACTAGTAACAGAAGCACCTGCAGGATGGGCAGCAGAGTAGCACAGGGAAGAAGCAGAGTGCCCATCTAGGCTTTTACAGAAAACTCAAAAAAAGAGTCTAACAAGCATGATGGCTCCTTTTGTGCTTGTGACTGAAACCCCAGGGTCACAGAAACCAACTTTCCCCATCATTTGTTTTTCTTGGCTGCAGAAAACCTACTCACGTAAAGTCTTTTATTGTCTGAAGTTCTGACAAATACTGACACATTTGTTAAGGCAGCTCACAGAATATAGACAGTACCGTTCTAAAAAGGAAGAACCAGAAAACAGTGAAGTACACTTTTTGTTTAATTTCATGCATTTGTTTGCTTTGATAGTCATTCTCGTTCCATTGCTGTTCAATACAAAGAGGGGCCAGCATCGGAAAACAACACAAGGAGCAGGGGAATGGACAGTGCAGGTGACTGCAGGAGAGACAGATGAGGGAGTTCATTTTGAGTTCTACCACAAAAGATTAATTTGCCCCAAATTAGAGTAACTCAAATTATTGTAAGAGAATCTTCCTAGTTCCAGAGTCTGGGATGTGGTCACTCTGGAGATGGAGAGCCACTGGGGTGATATGGTCAAGATGGGACATTTTCCTAACAGCTTGCAAGTCCTGGCTGGGGTTCCCTCTGGCTTGCAACCATTGGAGGACCATGGTCACTGGACAGCAGCCTGAGGCCAGGAGCCAGTGATCCCCTGAGTGCTGTGAAGTGGCTCTGGGCAGGCCTGTGATTCTGCTGGAAGCTTCCTGATAGTGGCCTTGCCATCTGCTTGACGCTTGGCTTGTGTAAAATCCTGCTATCATGCCTTGGCCACATAACAGTTAACCAAAGCCTTAATCCAGTTCCTTTTCCTGTTTCTCAGAGCTGCAATTTCAGAGCTCCCCTCTTCTGCCACCTGTCCCTGAGAAATACTCCAGGTTCCACAAGGGTCCTCCACTTAGCAGCTTCATCCATTCCAATTTGCAGTATCAGTTGTAACATGCAAATAAGCAAACTAACGATTCTAATGGGCCAATCTCTAAAGTGGGTAACATTGGTGGTGTGACATTTGTTCTATGAAATCAGCAAAGAAAAACCTTGCTGCCTGGAAAGGCACTAAATTCATACTGACAGTACAAGACAAGTCTTGAAAAGAATGTCATGTTAGTCTCACAGCATCTTGGGAGGAAGCAAGTAACCAGGACTTAGAACATTAACTTCCTGTTTCTAGATGGTGAAGGAAGAACATGTTCATTCAACACAATTAGATGATTGGATGAGGAGACATTTGGAAGTTGATTCATCAGCGATTGGTGAGTGTTCAAGTGGAAGTGTGGTCCAAAAGGGCAGTGAGTAGAGGTAAGTGGCCTTTTCCCTGTCTTGGTACTGCCCCTGCCAGCCTTGTGTGGGATCCAGAAGGAAAACACTGGTGTGATCCTGTTCTTCCATCAGGGCAAACTCAAGAGCTCAAAAAGCTCAAGAGCTCACTTTCAGAAAGTAATTATGAGTTTAAAGTTGGGATAGTCAACAGATTTCCCTTTGTTCACCAATTCCAATCAAGTGGTAATTGTTGCTCCAAGTGCTGTGTTGTGAGTAGTAGATGCAGTAGGAAAGAATATGGTGCTCCTTAAGTAATGCTGGTCTTCAGTGTTTAGGACAGAGATGGAAGAGGGTGGTATATGGTGGTTCTGTTTTCTGGCTTAGTGGGGAAACAAGATATACCACATATACTGAGAAGTAGGACAGGAATGCCTTGGATTCCAAATATTCTGTTCTGTTCTGGAGAACTAAGTTCTAGGAAGTTCAAGTAGGAATGTTTTAAGGAAAAAACTGAGACATAAAGGCATTAAAAAAAAAAAAGTAAAACATCTCATCAATGAGGAAGCATTCACATACAGGATGCCAGTGCTCCACAATGGAGTGGGGCATTTAAATCTGGTAGGATAGTACCAGGGAAATCCAAAATCATCACATCTATTACGTAGGGTAGGCTAGAAGAAAATTTAGCAAAAGGAGACCTGGAGTAAATGTCCAGTACTTATTAAATCCTACTATATATGATCTTCATCCTAGAAGGATGAATTTGTTGATACTAAAGTTTTAAAATATTTGAACTTCAAGTAGGCCAAACCAAATCAACTTATGACAGCTAGCTAGCATCTTCATGTTTCTGGGTGGGAGCTCCCCACAGTCTTGCATACAGGTCTAAACTTGAGTGGTGGTAAGAGATCCATTATAATTTCAAAGTCATTCTACTAATCAATTTTAAGAGAAATCTGTATTTGAGGACATGATCTAGAAAAAGAATGGAGCTCAAAACCAAATTCTCATCTGCAATATAAATTGAAACTCATCTTGAAGTGAGCCAAATAAATGAATGTAGACATTGAACCCAAGAGGTTTAGACTTTCAATTGTGAGGAAGCCTGAAGTCATAGTCCTGTGAGGTTCCTTGAAGCACTACTCAGGCTGATAGGACCCAAAGAATAAGCTCTTAGATTCCCTGAGCTCTTGATTCAACTCTTCTGGATTGAATTCAGTACATCACACACACTAGGCAAGCCCTGTACTACTGAACTACATCCCCAGCCCTCCCTTTTAACCTTGACTGAGGACACCATTCTTTTCTGAAAACTCTAGTCAATTCTACTCAAAAGTTATTCAATGTGGACTTTATTAAAATCTTGACTAACAAATGGCTGAAGTTTCAAGACTATCTATTTCCCTAAATAGTAAATCTAGATAAGGTGGCATTAGTATGACAGATAGCCAAGATGAGAATTCAAAAAATTGATCAAAATTATGAGGCATCAGGGGTGGATGTTCTAGGAAGACCATCACTGAAAGGTCTAAAGATAAAAATTGACCCTCATATTTCTCTGTTGACACTAAAAGTGGGTATAAACCTAAATGAACAAGTGTGGGTATTTTGTATTGAACAGAAGACACAGTTGTAGCATTCTGCATTCCAAGGAGCAATGAACCACAAAGATGCAAAGTGCAGGGAAATCTGAAGTCAGAGAATGGAAAAATAGCGTCTTTCAAGGTACTCTTCTAAGCCCCATGATCCTCTACGTGACTTGGCCTCCTTGAATTTCTTTATTCATGATGGGATGACATCATGGCCAGGAAATATATATGTATATATTCTTCTTTTAGTCTTCCTGCTACTCTCATTTAGGAGAGAAGGATGGTTTTGTGAGCTTTGGCAGGAAGGAGATTACAAACCATATTGTCAATTCTTGAAATTAATCCATGAGTTCCATGAACTCTCTAAGTTTGTTCTTCTTGGGGGGATTAAATAATTCTTTTTGCTTCTAATGCAGTCCCATGATTTTATTTCTTAAGAAATTTGAGAAAGTTTACAGTTTTGAACAATTTGTCCACTCTCTTAGTCATCTGCCCACTGAGAGCTTTCATGATGGAGTCAAAACCACACTGTGCCCATTGGATTTTGGGGCAGAACATGCATCTTTAGATGATCATTGTACACAGAAAATTAGGGACACAACTACAGTGACTACCAAGGAGCTCCTAAGTGGCAGTCCCATGTTCACACCTTCATTAAAATCATAAAATCCATAATGATTCATGGTTAGCAATAAACACAATCATTGTGCTACATCATGAACTGCACCTTCTGATCGACAGAAAATGAGAATGATAATATTATAAAATAAAATAACAATGATAATAATGCCATAACTTAAGATCTTTCATGTAGTCCAGCTACAGAATTATACAAAATGGAATAATTTAATGCAAACAATACTGTTCTCTGTATAAGTTAAACATTTTCTTTCATCCTACTGATGAACTACAAATTACAGACACTAAATTTTAAATCAATTTATCAACATAAAGTGTAAACAAATGGAGGGATCAAACAAACAAAAGGAACTGCTCTAAATTCCCTCCTGCCTTTCCTTTTTGGCTGATGCAATCACTGGCACCCAGAGGAGGGTACCATTTTCTTTTGCATTGGAAATGGTTTAGTATTTGCAAATCTTTCCTAACATCCAACAGGACACATATCATAGGGTCTAAAGCAAGTGTATGTTTTCTTAGAGACAGAGACAAGAATTAGGTCAACATCTATTTGTATATAAAATTCTAGATAAAAATTTCCTTGAAGCCAGGCACCATGAAGTACCTTTTGATACTTTTTAGAACCCATGTCCCTGGAGATAGGAAAAACCTCAAGCTTTTGACAAAGTAAAATCTTTCCAATTCCCTGCTCAGAATCAGTTGTGAAATTCTTTCCATGAATTTCCAAATCCAATTAATCAAAACTGCATTGATTTAGAGTGTACTAAAACATATTCTACAAGTAGCATTTAACAAAAATGCTACTGTGGTTCAAAAAGGGTTGCTTTTTGCAAGTTGATTATTTTGCCTTTATTCTAACAATGACAGCCAGTCACTAAAGCTTCCAGGACAGATTGGGTTAATGAATCAAAACAAGGGGATGGTTTGGGATTGGATGCTAGACCGACAGACAGACAGACAGACACACACACATACACACACACACACACACACACACACACACACACATACACACACATCCTAGCTGCCTTCAAATTCTATTCTCCTATTTGAATCAATATGATTCTAGCAGACAAACCACCTGTTCTAGAGAGGGGTGGTTCCATCTTCTCCATATAGCTGAACTGACCATCCTGAGAACATGCTTTCACAAATTCCACACTTGCTTTTCTAACATTGCTGTGGGTGGTCTTTCTCTCTCATCCTTGTCTCCTCAGCAACTCCTCCCTTTTTCCTAAAGGAAGTGGTCAACAGTAGAAAGGAAAAAAGCTATAGGAAAATGGCACTTGAATCTGAAAGATCAACACATTGGTCAAGGTAATACATTTGCCAAGGTAACGACAATGACAGCATTAAAAAGGGAAGTATTTGCCAGGGACAAGGTGTGATGCAATCTGTAAGCCTCACTACCAAATGCTGCTTAAAGTTTGAAAAATGAAGTCAGTTTCCATGTTCAGTTTTGTTTGTTTATCTTCTCCTAGAGGAAGCACATGCCTTTAATACCTCTGGTCACCGAACTTCTCTAGGTCATTTCCATCACCCACCTGGACAAGCTGGTTGAACTTAATGTGATCTGTTCACAAGTTACCTGGAATTGCGTTTTCTTTTGCTGTTCTTTGTGTTCTAAAATGCTCAATATGTCTTGCTCTGGCTCTTCCGTCACTTATGGCCAAAAGACCTGGTCCCCTGTGGAAGTAGCAATAATACCTCCTGGCCCCAAGTATTCCCAAGTATGTTGCTCTTAAAGTCCTCTTCTTTCTTTTTCTTTTTTTGCAAGAAATTATTGTGTCTCTCTCTATATCATATATAGTTCACTCTTTACAGTACAAAGTGTTAAAATGTCCAACAAAAATAAATATCAATGTTACAGTAGCTAGAATATTCAATAAAATAGATCCCTGCCATTCTTGATTGAAATGTTCAGTGAGACTTAATTTCATTTGGATATTTTTTTCCAGAGATTTGCGAAGTCTCATGTTCCTGTTATTGCAGCTCATTTCTAGGGGTGGTAAAGATGGGGCAGTTCTCTTCCCTGACAAAAAGCAGGAAGAGAAAGGGAGGAGTCTAGGGGGTGGAGGATTTGAAACACCAGCACGCCATGAGCTCTTCTGGAGGGGTGTTCCTTCATTACCAGGTAGCAGAGCTGTAGTGTTTATTGGTCCTAACTGTGGCGTCAGAACACTCCCCATCTGAAGAGTCACAGTCTGATTCTTCAAACTGCAGAGGGTTCTGTAAAGCCAAGACAAGAGAAAACTCAGTTCATTTCTACAATTCCTCAGTGAGCCCAGATTTAATATCTCCCCCATGACAGGTACTGTGTAAGGTAGGGTATATAAAGATAAATGAGACCAGGTCCTGCCCTTGGGGCTTATGGGGAAAAGAGACATGAAGTTGATAATGATGGTGGCTAGGCCCATTGGTACAGACCTCCACACCTCCCACTTAGTGGTATTTACTATAGTGTTATCAGGCAGTATTATTAAGTGCTTTACATCTGTTAATTCATGTAATGCTCACCACATCTCTGAGAGAGATCATACCTCATAGATATGACAGGTAATTAGGGTAGATAGATATTATTATCCCCACTTTACAGATAAAAAAATTGATCTTCGGAGAGACTCAGTGACTTGCCCATGGTAACACAGTAAGTGGGAGGTCTGGAATTTGCTTTTAGACAGTATGATGCCTCCCTCTCTTGTCCTGCTTTTTGTCTGTAAAGAGAACTATTCCATTTTTTTAAAACATATTTTTTTTAGTTGTAGATGGACATAATACTTTTATTTTATATTTTTTATGTGGTGCTGAGGATCAAACCCAGTGTTTTCCACATGTGAGGCAAGCACTCTACCACTGATCTACAACCCCAGCCTCTGCTCCATTTTTATTACTCCTTTTAACCATGATGCTAGTCTGTCTCTCCAGCTGCATAATACACGACGTGCAATAAAGTATTTTATGTGCTGCAACAGCATCTTCCAGGGGAGACTAGGAACACAGAGGGAGAAGGCTCCGCTCCTTAACCAGATTGGGAGACAGTGTGGAGAGGAGGTGAGGTTCTAGTTAAATCTTGAAATAAAGGGTTCCTGAGCATTTCAGTGTTTATGCCTCATTTGGGGAAACTGGCCTCACTTCTGGGAGCACAGTTATCTTGTGCTTCCACATCATGGAGGCAGCTGTCATATTTTATATGATAAATGGAAACTGTAAAGGCCCTAAGGGCTGGAGCACATCCTGGCCCAAAGGAACCAAGAGGGAAAGAGAGAGGAAGGAGTGGCGCCTACCTCATAGCCACGCTCCTCCACACATAGCTTGCCCAGAGACATCTGCGTCTTCACGCGGCGCACAGCACACTCCTTGTCAGAGAGCCCATCCGAGTGGGAGGATATCTCAATGGGGATCTCCGGAGTCTGGGACAGCAGGTCGTCCAGCTTCTCTGCCAGGCTGTCTTCAAGTTTATCAGCTAACTCATCAGGACTGTTTGAGTGGTCGCTAGTATTTCCCTCCTCTCCGTCAGACACAGAGAAATTCTCAGAGCTAAAGGTGGAATAGGACTGGCAGCTGCTGATGCAGCGATGGGGCCTAGAAGTAGGGAGAAGCACAAGAACTTTGTCACAGGGGCAGCTACTTTCTTTATCTGTCAGCCAGTCTTGGTGAGAGGTAATCTAGTTTATTTTTGCCATCCCTGAGGAAGACTAAAAACTCAAGATGGGTACCATTTAATTTTAAAGTAATAGAGAGGTGCTAAGGACTAAATTATGTCTCCCCAAGATTCTGGTTCCTCATCTTTCCCTCTTTGCCCTGTGAGGACACAGCAAGAATGTGGCTGTCTGCAAGCTTGGAAGAGTGCCCTCACTGGCAACCCAATCAGCTGTTACCTTGATCCCAGACTTCCAGCACTCAGAATTGTGAGAAATAAATTTCTGCTGTTTAAGCCACCCAGTCTGTGGTTTTATTACAGCAGCCTGAGCAGACTAACTCAGGGAGGTCCCCTAGGAACCAGTAAATGTACCCACAAAGAGTATGGCCATCCCTCCCACTGTCTTTTCTATTGTAATGGTGGATCTGCATTTACATTCCTTATTTTGAAGTTCCTATGAAATAAATTCTGATGAACTAAGATCTACTGTGTACAGGGAAATTTCAAAATATGGCAATGGAAGAACATAAGAACATGAACACAGTGAGATCAAGTTTCCCTATAAAGTGTCTGTTAAGAGTGACCTGTGGTTGCCGTGCAGGGTGGCACATGTTTGTAATCTCAGCCGTTTAGGAGTCTGAGGCAGAAGGACTTCAAAATTTAGCAAGGCCTAAGCAACTCAGTAGGGCCCTGTCTCTAAATAAAATATTAAAAAGTACTGGGGATGTGGCTTGGTGGTTAAGTGCCCCTGGGTTCTATTTCTGGTACAAAAAAAAAAAAAAGAAAAAGAAAAAGAAAATGACCTGTGGGTTGAACAGCCAAATGCAACAAACTCAAGATTTACTCCATTACATTGAAAGCAATCATGGACAATTTGGTTTTACCTCTGTCTTCGTGGAAATTCAACTTCACTATCTACTTCCCCTTCTTCTTCTTCAGAGGAATCATCTCCACTCTGAGGAGAATAAGAAAAGGCTTTTATTTATTTTGGCATCTCTCTCTCTTCCCCACACCCTGTACCATCTGTAAAAAAATTTCATTATCATCAAAAACATTTGGTAGTGGTTGGTTGGATTTTTAAACATATGTATTCTTATTCATTCATTCATTTAGTAACTTGTCCTGGGTGTCCAAGGTGACAGGCCCTATCCTAGATGTAGAGAACAAACAGAACTGAGTAGAAATTTATCTTTGCCCTCAGGGAGGAGAAGCCTCCCAGAATGCAGTCAGAGGTGATGATGAGGGGAACCAGGAGAGGAGGCCATGGACTTGTGGGCAGACTCTGATTTTGTCATTAGCAGTTCCAAGCATTATCACTGCGATTCCCCAAGAAGTGATCTCTCAGTTCTTCAAAGCCCAACAATACTTTTTCCTCTCACATATAATTACTTTTAACTAATATTATAGTTACACTAGGACATACATTATTTGAAGATCAGACCACAACTTGTTTGTATTTTATTCCTTACTCCAATGCAATGCTGCAAAATAGGTGTTTATTACCCTAAATATATACTTTATTTATCAATTTTTTTAAAAAAGGTGGGGGCCTAGGAAGTAGATCAGTGATAGAATGCCTGCTTAGCATATGAGATGCTCTGGATTTGACTCCTGACACCTAAATAAATAAATAAATAGAACAAAGTGTTTCGTGCATTTTTATTGAATGAGCATGTTGGCAGGGATAAGGCGGCTATGTCTGGGACACTGAAGACCCCACAACAGCTGGGCTCTGTGGTCTAGCTGGAAGGCTGTGTAAGTGTTCCAGCTGAAAAGGTAAATTTTCCCTTCCAGGAAAAATCTCATTTGGCATCAAGGCAGAAAAGCAACCACACTTAGGAACAACCATGCTCATCGATGTGACACCCTGGATTATGTAATTTTGTGAGCTGGGTGACTGGGTCCAAGTCATACCAAATATTGAGGATAATTTACCTTTTAAAAAGTCAGTTCTAAAATCCAATTACTCTTATTCATTTGTATCCTGATTTGCTTTTTTGAATACGAAAGGCAGGGATGGAGTTATCCTGACTGCTGAGATGAGCAGTTTACCCTTGGAATCCACACGGGAGGGAATCTCAGTTACAGGAGGGAACGTGGGGGAATGAGGACAAATGCACAAGGGGTGTGTAGTGCGGCCTGCACTCCCATAGAGGGCATCAAAATGGCATCAGGATGGTTCAGAGGTTACATGTTATTTGTGGGAGACTGGGAAATGGGTTGACTGTCAAAGGGTATGGCATTTCTTTTTTGGGGGTGATGAAAATGTTAAAATTGGTTGTGGTGATGGTTGAAGAAATCTGTAGATAAAAACCATTAAACCAAACAGAGATATGAAAAATTATGCTCTATATGTGTAATAAGAATTGCAATGCATTCCGCTGTTATATAAAAATAAAAATACAAAAACAAAGACAAAACAAAAACCCATTAAATCATACACTTAAAATGGAAGGACTGTATGATGTGTGAGTTCGTCTTAATAAAATTTTGTCAAAAAATTACATGTAATTGCCTATAGGTGTGGGAGAGTGGGGAATGAATCAGCCCAAATCAACTGCTCCTCCTGAAACACAATTTTATCCCAAGAATGCTTGATCAGTAGCAGCAACACATGTGCAGGAAGAACATAGTTCTGAGATGATGGACCCCAGGGTCAACCTGTTTTCTACTAAGGTGACCAAAACATACTTATTTACATTTTAGACTCTTTCATTCCTTTAATTACATACCTGATGAACAGTGCTGAGATGAAACAGTACTTAGTAACTGGGTAGGTGTTTACCATGTTCTAAACACTTCTCCACTTTTCACATGATCTTTAAAACACACACAAGCAAAATGGGCAGGAGTTTTGGGAAGGTTGCTACATTCCAGGCTCTGCTCTGCTTCCTATTTGTATTAATTCATTTAATCCTCACATTAACCCATGAGGCAAAGTCCATTATTAGGCTTGTTTTATAGACAGACAAACGGAGACAGTGGAAGAGGCTGGCTTTGAAGTATGATCTCCGCCCAAGCTCATGATTTTAACCACTAGAGTAGACTGCTTCCCAGCTAATAAACCCCACACAGCCAGTGGATGAGAAAGAAACAAATTTCAATGACTAGTTAGCTCATTTCAATTATTAATTAAGAAAATATTTTCCAAAGTATACTGCAAAGAAAGCGAGTTCCATGGGGGATTAATAGATGCTATTTTTAAAACATGGTGTGGCACAATAGGTAAGGAAAATGCTGGATTACAAAAGTTTATCAAAACCTGGTTTCTCAAAACCTGTGGTGACGTGTACTAGGAATCTCCAAGAAGAGGCTGAGAATACTATTTCTCAAATTTAATTTTATGATTCAATCCTTCCAATAGCCCTCCAGATTAGAGTTCTAGGGTAGAGGTTTCCAAACCATTCTGATTACATATCCCTGATATACGGTTTTCCATGAATTATAAACAAATCAGTCCCTAGGTGAGTAGTTCTCAAAGTGTACTCCCAAATCCACCGCTTAAACAATGTGGAAAGTATTTAAAATAAATTTCTATTTGTGTTTTTGTTGTCTAGGTCTTTTCCAAAATGTATATTTTTTAGGGACATTTTATAATGTGCATAATACGATAGGCTCTGACATTCTTTGAAGGCAGTGACATAGACTACTCTTGTCATCACACCTTACCTTCTGAAGGGGCCTTGATTTTCGAGGTAGTGCTGGGGGGGTGATGTGATGAGGGGTGCCAAGGGATGATGCAGACCCACAGCTGTTGAATTCATTTTCTTCCATTTTCTCAGAACCTTGGACATTTTCTGAGAGGAGATTGTGTGCTGGTGACTTGGAAAGGTTGGGGCTCCTCCCCACTGGCTCAGTAGTGGGTATATCTAAGGACCCACACTGTTCTGGCCTGCATTGGAGGCAGGGGTCATAAGGGTCAGCCTGACAGCAGCCCCAGGGGTCGGCCTGGCCTTTGTTGGGCTCAGGACTTCTCCAGCAATCTGCTGCCATGGCTGTGGAGATGAGGTCAGGGCTAGAGCCAGGCATCTGTCTTTGAGCATGGTTGCTGAGAGGGCTCCGCAGGGCTGCTGCTGGGCCAAAATACCTCAGGTTGTTGGCGCAGGTTGCAATGTCCTGTCCGTGCATACCAAGCCTGGAATGGTGACTCTGAGACATGGCAGAAGGGGGTTGCTGGTATTGCTGCTGCAGAGTATTATGGTGATGGAGAGAAGGGTTCTGGGACTGAGCCTGATGGAGGTAAGAGGGCTGGGGTGAATTTTCCTGGGCTGGTTGGTTTTTCAAGATTGCTGCAAAGTCACTATGGCTGCCCCTACTATTCCCCCGACGGTGGCGTGGTTTGCTCCGATATCGGCTCTTGCTGCTTGAGGTGGACATTTTGGGACTTCCAGACAAAGGGGATGCAGTGGGAGCTACCTCGGTACTGGGGATACCTTCAGATCTCAACAGATCTGGCCTAGGAGAAAAGAACAGGTTTAGTTTTAGACCCAAAAACATATTCAAGGGCTGGGGTTGTGATTCAGTGGTAGCACTTGCCTAGCTTGTGGGAGGCTCTGGGTTTGATTCTCAGCACTGCATATAATAGACACAAAAACATATTCAAGGGCTGGGGTTGTGATTCAGTGGTAGCACTTGCCTAGCTTGTGGGAGGCTCTGGGTTTGATTCTCAGCACTGCATATAAATAACATAAAGGTAACATAAAGGTCTATTGACAAGTAAAAAAATACTTAAAATGTACCCCAAGCTCTAAAATATGCTCTTTGAATCAGCAGTCCCATGTACAGGAATTTATCCATTGGATATAACAATGTGCAAAGATGTATGTTGTTATATTACTGTATTGTTTAAAATAGCAAAAACTTGGATAATCCCTAAATGTTCATTTACAGAGGATTTCCTTTGTTCCTCCTGGATTTTATTCTGTCTTCCTAATGTAGGTATTCAGTCCTCTTAAAATCATAATTTTACTCTACAGTGCTCTTGATCTCTTCCTCATAATCGTGTGTGTATACTGGTACCAATATGCCAAGGTAAGGGCCTGGGTGTTTACACCTGGGAATCTGTCCAGTGATGGAGCTGGGCAGATCCCTCAGGGCACCACATGGAAAAAAGTCTAGTACCACAGAAAGGAAAACCTCAGGTTCGCTGGACACGAGGCTGAGTTCATGGAGCCTAGACGCGGTCCTTTAAAGAGCTGGGACTATGTTCTGTCTATCTTCATATGAGAAAGGAGTCTTATTTATAGGAGTATTCAGTAAATTTTGAGGAAGAAAAGGAAGGGTCAGAGAAGGGGAAAATGGGAGAGAGCTCATTTTGAGCAGCAGCAGCAAGAAAAGGACTTCTGGGAAGTGACACTGTCATTCTACTTTGATCTTAAAGGATGAAGGTTCTCTTTCAACCCTATTTCCAAGTTCCCACTGGACCAGTGATGCGCAAGAGGAAGGAGGCCTGAGGTAAATCCTGCCCACTGCTTCCTTCCTCCCAGCAAATAGCCTCACCTGTCTTTGGGACCAGACAGACACAAATCAGTAGGAGGTTTTAGAACCGGAGAGTCCAAACATTTTTATTTAACAACATAATTTTCTCAAATGAACTATTATGAGAAATCACTATATAAAATGGATATAATAGGCTGGTTGAAAGGGGGTGGGCAGAAGCCTCTGCCACATATAATGAGGAACCCAGAGTCATCCAAAATGGTTCAGGATCTCACAGCCTGCTAGTGACAGAATCCAGATGAGCAGTATGTCCTAGTGTCCTTGGACAGCCAGAGTACAAACTTGATGGTACATGCAAATTACTTGAGGAGTTTGTTAAAATGAACTTTTTGGTTCAGTCTGGGTAGGGCCTAAGAACCTGTACTGCTACCAGGCTGTCAGCCGGGCTGTGCTGACAGCCTCACTAAGCACAGCCAGGGCTCATAGGGCCTTAGTAGGCATTGAGCAGTAGAGTAGGAGATGGACTTTTTCTTTTTTTCCAGGAAAAGTACAATCAAAAGCTTATCTTAGTACAGAAGTTCCATGTATTACTAGTTTATGATAAGGGGAGTAGGGTCCTGAGGTCTATCAAAAGCTTTCTGTCCCAGAGTTAGAAATTGATGTCCAGCTGGTTGATATGTACTGCAGAAAGTGTTCTGGGTTTTTTCTGAGATAAGGGAGCCCTTCCAAGCTTGGGTGGAGGCATCTACTTACAGGGTAACTAGCTATGGTGATATTTAAAGGAAAGTTGAAGTGAAAGCATCTAAAGTCAGGGGAAGGCTGTTCTTACTGAAGCTGGCAGTGCAAAAATCACAGAGTATCCTTGTTATACAGTTTGCAAAGCACTTTACAATATATAAAGTGCCTGGTTCCTACTATTTCAATGTCCATTTTATAAATAAGGGCACTGAGGATCACAGGTTACTTAGCTTGTGCTCATCATAGAGCAGAACACATAACTTGAACCCAAGGTGCTTAATTCCAAGGCACAGTTCCCATTTCAAGCTATGACTAGTATATATTTAGACTATCTTCATGGATTATATTCACTTGGGACAGGCTCAGAGGATCTAAAATTGAAATCAGCACTCCTTTAGTCCCTAACTAAACATGAACTGAAACCTAGATGTAAGGATGGTGAGTGGTTTCTCCTCTGAGTACCTCATAGGTCACTGAATTTCTGATTTAGCAATCGCAGGACTCTCCAAAAAATATGAAACTTTAATTATTCAAGGGGCAGTCTCAATGGACAGTACAACACTCTGCAAATTGCCTTCCCGGTGTTCTGCTTATATACTTACCAAGCTTTTCCAAATCAACATAATAGCAAACATAGGTTCATATTTTTAAAAAGTTAAGGGATGGGGAAGTAGTTTACTGTATAGCACTTGCCTCCCTTGCTTGTGAGAGACCCTGGGTTCAATCCCTAGCACCACAACAAAACAAAGAAGTTAAATAGAACGTCCCACTCCCGCCCAAACACACTCCTAGGTTATAAAACTGTAAGCAGAACCAAGGAAGATCTGTAGGTGGACTTTGTCACTCATTAGCACCAGAAAAGAAATAAAGGCCCTGGGATTTCCCTGAGGATTGTGTCAGGTGCCACCTGAAAAGAGTTTCTTAGAATTTGACCAGAAGATAGTAAGGGCGATAAGTAAAAGCAAAACTGGACTTCATCCATGTTGTTACTCATTAATAGTTTAGATTGACATTAGTCTTGCTGTGGTAGGACAGCCATCATTTGTAAAAATGGGAAAGGATTTTTAAAAACTATTCAAAACACTATTT